AATATACCCTATTTACTCTTCGAGTACCCGGTATAATTAAAAACGAGAACGAACGCCTTTTACGCGTCACAACTTGTATGCGCGGTATTCAGGCAGTATCATTATTTTAGCCAGAATGAAGAAACTAATTTGCAGTGACTAAACCCAGGACCCCGTCCAGCAGCTTTTTTTATTACTTGCACGTTATCTCATCCCACAATCTGCTGCGTGCAGAGCCAAAAGAGCGTGTTGGCGTGAGAAGTTATTTAGATGTATGTAGATGACGGATGTAGCAAAAATTGTAAAATATCAAATTTAAAGTTCGGATAAAAAACAATGAGGTACAGATATAATGTCTGAGTCTCACACGTCCCTTCTCTTTCTTTGTCTCTTTGGGTCGCGGCCAGTTGAAATTTTTAGCTCACGCACTTTAAAATTATGTAAAAGAAAATACAAACTTGGTAGTCCCCAGAGACAAGTTGAAGTTACTAGATAAGTAAAAAACCATATCTGATTTTATTTGCTTACGTCATGCGTCAGTTACCCGACCAGGGCAGTCCAGTCGAGTCGACTGTCTGCACCTCTCTCACTCTATGTTACTGTCCAGAGCATAAACCAGTTTGCGGTGACCCAGTCTGGAGTTGGTTAACCACAAAACTACTTTCATTTTCGCTCTCTGTTTTCTGAACTTTGCTTTCCGGGCTCATTTGCTAGTAGCTGCTGCCTTTTCTCTCCTTGTCTACTAGTATTGTGCACTTTACTGGGTTTTCAGCTTTGAGTGGAGCTCAAAAATGGAGAGGGGAAGGAAAAAGTCATTGCGCATGCGCAACCGTACTTTCCATAAAAGCTCACACACTCACACACATTCATTTGGACGTGAGTAGGGTTTCTGATTCGCCAGAAAGATTGTATCCAAATTGGCCAAATGCGCAATTTGTCTCTGGTGGCTTCATTTCCCCCTGTCAACTTGCACTTATTTGGTTAGCTGAGAAGTCTGCTAACTAAGGAAATGGTGGAAATAAAATCTAAAAGAAAGCCGATTTATCTGCATACAGTCGAAGTAGAGGTTAACGAACTCCACATCTCAGAACGTTGCATTTAAATCTCCTCTGTGAATTAGGTGTAAAAAATTAAGGGATATTTAGGATAGCCACTTTCAGAGTTGAAAGAAAAAAAAAAGTGGGAGAATTCTTACCGCCCTATTGTTATTTAAGCTTAAGCTATTTTGTGTCATATACTAATCTTTGTGTGCTCCTTCACACCACCCCAACAAAAGAACCTCATGTATTCCAAGGAAAAAAAGCGACGAGTGCGGATCATTCTCAGCCTTGTAACGGCTGTCATTGCCGTAGCTTTGTTGGCCACCGCCCTCGTGTTTATCCTCAAAACGGATAAGGACAATGGCAGCAGCTCCGACAACTCTGAAAGCAATGGGATAGATCTGGAGGATGTTCTGAGCGGTCAATTATATGCTAAGCGCTTTAATGGCAGCTGGAGCAATGGTAACACTGTGCTCTATAAGGATAATGCGGTAAGTACGATTAACAACAAAAGCAATTTCAAATAATCCACAATGATTATTCTAAACAAATCCCAGTCCATCATGGAGTACGATGTCAAGACAGGAGCTCGCACGCCGTTGCTCCACAATGCGGCGCATTACGTGCTGTACGAGAAGTCCGCGGATGGGGATCTTCTGCTACTGGCCAAGAACTACAAGAAGAACTTCCGGTACAGCTTCCTGGCCGAGTACGATATATACAACTTCAGCACGAACCAGATTTTGCCTCTGACCATTCAAAACCAGCAGCTATATCTGAGCATGGTACAGTGGTCGCCGGTAGGCAATGCTCTCATCATCAACTACGATCGCAATCTGTACTACAAGAAGAGCGCCCTGGAGCCGGAGATAGCTATAACCAGCGACGAGCAGGCCGGCATACTTAACGGCATTCCTGATTGGGTGTATGAGGAGGAGGTCTTCAGCTCCAATGTGGCTACCTGGTTCAATCCTTCAGGCACTCAGCTGGCCTTCATCAAGTTCGATGACTCGTCTACGCATCTCATCAATTTCCCTTACTACGGCGAGGCAGGCGATCTTCGCTACCAGTACCCCCTGCACCAGGTGATTGCCTATCCCAAGGCGGGTTCCTCAAATCCTCGCGTTGAGTTGGTCATGGTCGATCTAGTGCGTGCGGCCTCCGGTGGGGACTTCATCACTGTTATGCCCGTCCCACCTGCTCTCAACACGGAAACGGATTACATTGTCACTGTCGTCAGTTGGGTGGACGATGCACACGTCCTCTCCATCTGGATGAATCGCATTCAAAATGCCGCTTACGTGGTAACCTTCGATGGACTTAATCGGAAAGTGGTGAGTGATCGGATTGATCGTGCGTCGGAGACATTAGGGCTCGACATAACTTTTAGAGCTATTTAATGTTATTTTCCCTCGTAGATATATAGCACAGAATCAAAAACTGGTTGGGTAGATCTTTATACGGCTCCCTTCCGAAATCGCAATGGATCCCGCCTGGCCGTCGTCCTGCCCCACAACAACTACAAGCATCTGCAGCTGCTCAGCTCAAGTGTAAGCAGCACGGAGCAGCAGCTGGAGCCGCTGACCGAGGGAAAGTACGTGGTGGACAGTATTCTTCACTGGGACGCCACCAACGATGTGATCTTCTATACAGCCAACACTGAGGAACACCCAGAGCAGTTGCATCTGTATGCCATAAGAGCCCAGGCAAAGCAGAACGCCAAGTGCTTGACCTGCAAACTTATCAAATCGGGTGATGTGGAACAGACCTACTTCTCGGCGACGTTCAATGACAACAACTATCTGGTACTTACCTCGTTGGGACCTGGCATCCCCACCGCCCACCTATATGAGTGGAAATACGTAGACTGTAGGTACTCCAGTTCTGGAATAAGATCCTTTTTCATTTTCGAATTTTAAATACCACCTACAGCTCAGGTTGTCATCACGAATGTGCTCGATTGGGAAACTAATGAGGCACTACGGACCAAGCTGAAGGGTGTGGCCCTGCCCTCCCATAAGATTCTGACGGTAAACATTGATGGCGGCTTCCAGGCCAAGGTTCTCCTACAGCTGCCTCCCAACTTAGACACCAGCGGCAAAACCAAATATCCAATGTTGGTGGATGTCTATGGGGGACCCGACTCGTATTCCGTAAGTTTAAGTGGCAGGGGGCTCTCGTAAAAATCGTAATTAACACTCTGAGGTATGCTGTTTAGGTAACCAACAAATGGATGCTGGACTGGGGCACTTATCTAACATCGAACCAGTCGGTGATCTATGCCAAAATTGATGGGCGTGGCTCGGGACTGCGTGGCGAAAGTCTGCTGCATGCCATCTACCTACAGTTGGGCACTGTGGAGATCAGTGATCAGATCACGGTTACTCAGTAAGTGCGGCCGCAATTAACCCTCAGGTGTCTTTCTTCCTGGCTCATGGCTCACAAATACCCCAAATTGCAGAAACCTCACCGAACTTTACAACTACATTGATCCCGAGCATATTGGCATTTGGGGATGGTCATATGGTGGCTATGCGGCGGCCATGGCTTTGGCCAATGATAGTACTGAAGTGTTCAAGTGTGCAGCTTCCATAGCTCCGGTCACAGATTGGGCCTACTACGGTGGGTGAACGTAAACCCTCCATCTTAGTGAGACTATCGTAAATAAATCCCTCTTTTTTGGCAGATTCCATTTATACGGAGCGTTATATGGCCTTGCCCAATACCAACGAGGTGGGCTATGCCAACTCAAGGCTGAGCACGCGTGCCCAGAAGTTGAGGGGCAAGAAATATCTGCTCGTCCATGGCACACTCGATGACAATGTGCACTACCAACAGGCCATGATTCTGGCCAAGAACCTGGAGCGTCACGATATACTCTTCAAGCAGATTGTGAGTGGCCTTCTATATATAACATATACAAATAGAGTAGATCTCGTTAAATATTATGAATACTGAATATATCTTGCAGAGCTATGCTGATGAGGATCATGGTCTGTCTAATGTGCGCCCGCATTTGTATCATTCATTGGATCGCTTCTTTGGCGAGTGCTTTGCCAGCAGTCGCCTTATGAAAAGTGCAAAATAAAAATGCAAGATTATAAAACAAATATTATAAAAATACTCGTAATAGAGAAGAGATACGTGGTTATAAATTAGCTATGCCAACAACAAATTTAAACCTTATCCAATGCTAGCGAATGATAAACTAAGCCACAAATTGGTACTTAAGAGTTATTAGATTTCTGCTTGAATATACAAAATAAAAAAAACAAAGCAACATTAAACAAAATAAATAATTAATAGTGTTCAAGATGTTGAAAAAAAACTTAATTCAGGTCCAAAGGTGTTATAAGATAACTTGGAACAATAATAATGACATTTGAATTGACATTGAATTTTATGAAATTTTAAAGCTGATACAAGCAGATTTTTGCAACATATACAAACATATAAATGTAGTGGGTTTAGTTTAGAGCGAAATGTATTTTCTAGCTAGTGCCTGATTATAATTCTTAAAAACACTAATACCTAAATATTTAATGTAGATATTCAAATTAAACGTGCATTCAACGAAACTTTGCAGACGCTACGCTCCGTTTAAAGCTTAACGATTATAAGTAGGTCAAAATTCGATGGATGAAACTATTCCTGTAAATTGAAAACGAGAAATAGAAGTAGTTTGTAACATTTTATAGTTTTTTTTAATTTGCTACCTGTATAAAAAAAGTTAAAGAACTTGTATATATTTAAATAAATAGTTGTTTAAAGCCTTTTTGTAAATTAGAAGGAAACATAGGCAATAGTTAAAAATGCAACAAAACAATAATAATAAATAAATATATATTTAATTGGATTTTTTAATGTGTCATTATTTGGCATTTCTGGAAGGGCTTAATTTATTGAATGCGAAAAACCGTAAAGATACCTTATTTGGATACCTTTGGATTCCACAAACGGTCAGAAAGAGATACGAAGATATTAGGAACCAATTCCAACGATAGGTATAGGTTTTATTGGTTTCATTAAAACTATAGTATACCGCCAAAACGCAAATAGAGTTGCGCGAAGTTACACAAATTCAAGGACATTTAATATTTAGTACACCGGGTCGCTTTATTTCCTTAGCCCCAAAATCCGGGATTAATCAATATGTTCGCTTGTGGATAAGACGCACATATATCGAGCTTTTACATTTGCAATCCTAAGCTTTAAAGCTAAGTTTAAAAAACCCGCATTCAATATTTGTGAGATTTTCCGGTTTTTTTCTATAGTAAAGTTGATATTGCATAGTAAAATTGATTAGTTTTATATATGTACGTTCTTCTGTTGATCTGCAAATGGACCATAAATAAATCACCTTAACTGGTTATTTACAATGTGCAGATGGCCAGATCCTAAACTAGTTTTTATAATAATCGGTACATATTCGTATGGTACAAAAATAATCTGTCTATTTTATAAACTAGTTAATTGAATGATTTCCGTTTCGTTCTTCAAATTAGAATTTAATATTTTCAATTGTAAATACTTTTCTTTTCTACATTGTTCATATATCTAATATATGTTTATGTACATATACAAGTCTAAAAATTGTATTCATTACATTCTATGTTCTATATTTGATCAGATTTAGTACAGATATATTTGATATTAAATATGTGTATGTACAGTACATAAATTGGACTTTCCCAAAATCTTCCGCTTACATGAAGTAGGTTTCTCCGTCGAGAAAAATGTGAATCAACAAAATTGTACGATTTTGGTAGGTCTTAAAACAGAATAACCTTATATGTGTTACTGCATTTCTTTTTTCAAAAAATGACCAAAATAAAGCTTTGAACAACGTTAAAACCATCTCTTGGCAACACATTTTAAGAGTTCACAATGGCTAAAACTTTATTATATAATTATATACTTATATGTTCTATATGTATGTGTATTATATGTTGTTATGTTAAATTTATTTTACTGGAGATAAACCTCTTGGACAACTTCATGTTGCTGCTGTTGCTGCGGATCGTGGAGATCGTCCTGCAATTGCAACTGATGATGCTGATCTTCGATTCCCCCACCATCGTACTCGATCAACTGATCAGCCTCCGTCTGCTGATTGTGATCGATATTCATCTGATCCTGCTCCAGTTGATGATGATCCACCAGCTGATCCTCCTGATGGTAGTGGATGTGATGCGGATGATGAGTGAAAACGAGTGGTGGCGGCGTCGTTGGCGTTGCTATGTGCTGAATCGGCTCGTGCATGGCTGTCGTGCTGGTCGATGTCAATGCTGTGGCGGTGGTCGTTGTGTGGTGATAAGCTGATTGTTGGTTCCGTACAATATGACCAGCGGCGGTGACACTGGTGACGCTGGCGCGCTGGTTGGTTCGCGTCAACGTAACCGTCACCTCAGAGCCCAAACCGGCAAACGAGACAACTGGCGTGGATGTGGATGTTCCAGAAACAGTCGAGGGGGATGCACTTACTCCTCCCCCAGCTGCTGCTGCCGCTGCTGTTCCTGCCGTGGCTCTGGCCTGGAGAACTTTACGAGTGGGCAATTGGGACGTGCTTTGGTTTGAGCCAGCCGATGTGGATGCTGCTCCCGATCCCGTTTGGGATCCCGACTGGGGCACATAGTTGATGAGCAGAACACGTTCGCCGCTGGTTGTCTGCGCTGCATGACCGCGCAGTATGCGACGCTGCAATGTTCCTCCTCCGGAAGATGCTGTTGCCGTTGAAGATGTTGCTGCTGCTGTCGATGGTGTGTTGCATCTGTTGTTGCTGCTCACTGTTGTTGCCGCTGCACTACTGTGCGCCGGCTGCCCACTCCCTCCGCCTCCTCCAGGGCCGCTGGTCATATCGTTGGATCATCATTACGTATTGTTACCTCCTTTCAAAATGAAAACTTTCTTTACCAAAATGTTCTTATTGTTGCCCTGTCGATGATTGTTTGATTGATTTTTTGATGAATTGGATGGCATGAATTCAGTTTTTATACACATTGATAACGATTTTGATTTGGTTAGATTGTGAGTTATTAACGAACCAGCGAGAGAAAGAGAAGAAGACAAGATAAAACGATTCGTTAATGATCTGGTTATGTGTTATGAGGAGCTGTTGTGTGTAGTAGTGCTTTCTTTGGTTAAGTTAGTCACCAATAAGTAGTCTAATATGATTACGAGAATCCTGTTTATACAGTAGTTCATTGGGTTAAACAAACGGTAGGAAAAAGTATTAGCGTGCGAAATACAATCAGTTGACATGCCCAGTATTATAAATTAAGAAAAATAAAGTTCTCACAATAGAAAGTACAAGTTCTTCTTTACCAAAAGTAATACTCAAAACAAAAATGACTTTTTTGAAAATTTTGTGTTTTGCTTAAACAGTTTTTGGTTTATTTTCTGGTGTTTCTTTCTTGTTTAAATAAAATTAAATTTTATTTAAGTATTTAAAAAGACTTAAAATAGATAGGTTTACAATAGTCAGATAGATGGATCATTCTCGTGGCGCTCAAATGTACAAAATTAAATCATAATTTCAGGAGACACTCCATCTATCTGAACGAGCTCCGTGGTGGGGTCTAAGGTTCAAGAAAAATATTCATTACTAAAGTTAGGAAAGTTAAAAAATGGTTGGGTTCAAGATTACAATTAGAGCGCATAGATCGTAATAGAGCCAAAGCATATTGATCGGTTGATTGACTTTTGATGGTGGGCAAACATAGACAGACACGAATGGGGCACCCAATTGAGCAACCTTTTATACAAGGATATTCTCTCTACAGATGATTTATTTAGGATCTTTAAGCTATCTATGAAAGTTCAGTACGAATATTTAACTAAATGGTTTAAGGCTCAATGACAGGCAGACCTAGCACTGAGGCCTTATGAGAGACACACAACAATATTGCAAGTTTTCTTGATCTCAAGGGCGGTTTCAGAAGGATTCAGAGTCTGACTAGCGTACCTTTAGCTTTGGGATATAAGTCAATCCAACCAGAATTAATATAGCAATATAAAGTTAACCATATCCGATAACCATAGCGCAATTAAACATAAATCTAGCAACAAAACTAAATAGATATTTTGATGTAGAGAAAAATCAACATTTAAGGTAATAGAATTGTACAACAAAATGGTAATAGCTAGAGGCTACCAGTGGATGGCACGGAGACAGATTCGAACCCGGCCATCCATCAAGAGCCAGTAATGATGTTCCCTTTGTTTAGAATTGAACTACGCAAACCACGCAAATATTATAATAGTTTCTACGTTTCGGTCCGGTCCGATCATCAGAGTGTCTGTTGGGGTTGTGTTTGCTGTTGTGGTGGCTGCTGCTGCTGTTGGAAATCAGTCATATTCACCTGATTCAAGTTGCCTATGATCTGATGACCCTGCAGTGTCTGCACCTGGGCAATCGACATGGGCGCCCCACTCTCGCTGCCATCCGCCGCCTGGGCCACCAGCTGCTGCTGGCCCGCCGCCTGGGCACTCGTCGTTGCCGTTGTTATATTGCCAGACGAATCTATGATCTGATGATGTTGCAGCTGCTGTTGCACCTGAACCTGTTGTTGCTGTTGCTGCACTTGTCCTCCCGACGAGGTGGTTGTTACTGTCATTGTCTGTTGTTGCTGCTGCTGCTGCTGTTGTTGTTGTTGTTGTTGTTGTTGTTGTTGTTGTTGTTGGTGCTGCTGCTGCTGTTGTTGCTGGGCATCGGGATCTTTCTTCACCTGCACACCTTGCAGCGTGTGAAGGGACTGAACCGTCTGTACCTGGGGCACTCCTCCTCCACTCGAGCTTAGAGCTGCACTCCCGCCTGAACCAGAGCCTGACCCCGAACCCGAGCCGGATGTGCCGCTACCCGACTTCTTGCCACTGGATGCTGAAAGGAAGGCAGGAGGAAGAAAAGTTGAAAAGATTGAATTTTCATTTGCCTGTAGCTACTAAAAGGCGAATGGAAAAGGTAAGGCTACTGATATGGGGGAGGACTTTCAACAGCCCGACCTTCGAGAGCTACAAAAAGTAGGCAAAAGGTTCAAAAGTATGTAATTATGTTTGTGTAGATGAAGACATGGATGTGTGTGGGATTAGTGTTTGGAATCTTGGAGCAGATCGATTGTGGCAATAGACTAACACAGAATCACGGTTAATTGTCAAAAAAAGGTTAGTAAAAAGATGCAGAAATGTAAATTCGAAAAGGAAACATTTGGGATTAAAACTTTTACATGACGTGATCAAAATGTACATTTTAATTAAACAAAAGAGAAAAAACTAATTTAAAAGATGACAAAACATCAAGCGAGAACAGAGCATAAATAATTATTTAAACATTTTTTAGTTTATCGGGTTAGGATAATAATTGTTAGGATTCATAGAAAACAATATTTTCTTGCTCGAAGAACAAAAGCCAATGGAAAAAACGTTTCATGACACACAAAAAATGAATGTGCCACAGGCAGTGATTATTTTTGTCTGTTATATAAAAAAATATATAATATTTTATTAATTAAACAATCGATTATATAATAGTTAAAAAGAGCAGCTTAAAATGATTTCGATCTGCGACTGTAGTTGTACATGGATCTTTACAACAAATATATTTTTTCGACACTAATTACCATTATTTACGTAAATTAAATCGAGTATTTTTTGAAATTCTCCTCTTTATCTTTCTATTGAAAAATGCAAGAAAATAGTGCATACTATTTTTCGGCTGAATAATGGAATTTAGAAAAGCTTGGCAAATAAAAACTTACGCAGTAAAAGGGGGTACAACAAAATTAAACGGGATATGAAGACAAATCGGATCAGATCACGGGGATTTTTGCTTTTGGTGTTATTTACAAATCGTTTGTGTATGCGTGTGTGAGTGTACATGTGGATGAGTGTGCTGTATTTGTGTGTTGGTGGGTGGAATTATGAAAGGCACGACAGGCGGCAGGTGGTAGTAATCTGGATGCCGCTACTGCTGTTGCTGCTGCGGCATGAACACCTGATCGCCCACAATGTGTATGACGTTCTGCATGCCCTGCTGCGCCTGTTGCTGTGCCCCGCCGGCCCCACTGCCACCCTCGTGCTTGATATTGACGCCCATAATGTGTGTCTGGCCTCCACCCGCCATTGTTGACGTGGTCATGTGCTGCTGCGCTGTTTGATGGTGCTGTTGCTGCAGTTGATGCTGCTGTTGCTGTTGCGGGGGAAGCACACTTTGCGCCAAGATGGTGGCCGATCCAGAGACAGACGCATTCGATATCACTCTCGTTGGAGTCATGCCCGACTCTGCTGATCCTTCTCCCACGGTTGTGTCGCCCTCTGTTGTAGTGTTCAGCTCGGCGCTGGTGTCTAGTGTCGTATCATTACCGGACTTACTTTTCTTCTCCTTCTTCACCCCGGGCTTGGCGAAGTGCCGCAGCTCGAGATGGCGCCGCAGGTTCCGCGACTGACGTATGACGGCATAGCAAATGGGGCATGTAGCAGGTTGTTCCGATTGAGAGCGAGAGCGTGGTTCTTTGAATCGAAAATAATGGCATTAGAATAAGAAATCCCTTTCTGACTGAATTCTCTAACTCACTTTCTGTCCCGGGCGGGTGTTTGGTTCGCTTGGCCTTCGGCGTGGACGGCGTGCCGCTTGTATTACCTCCGGACGAGCCCGTGGTGCCTGCTGCCGTCGTGATTTCACCTGTGGTCGCATTTGCCGACGTAACCGGTATCATGTTGTTCGGATCCATTGTTACAATCGTCTCCACCTTCTGCCCTTCGCTTTTGATGATGGGAGTGGATGTGAGAAGCTGGCCCTCAGATCCGTTCTCGCCGAGAACTTGCTGCTGTTGCACTACTCCACCGCCGCCGTGGGATGATGTCGGTGTGCCCATAATCGTATCCATTCCTTCAACTTTGCTGATTTTCGGTGCCGTAGCTAAAGTGGAAAGATTTTGTGAGGAAATCTATTTCACTGGGGGTCTCTGATTACACTTACGTGACATTTTCTTGACCCTGGGTTTCCGTTTACGTGCCGGCAAAAAGGCCTGAATTACCGCCTGGTCGTGCTTAGCTGCATCCGTGGTCACAATCGTTTGCTGTTGTCCCGCTGCATTGGTCTGGGTGGTCGCCTGAAGGATCTGTCCTTGGTGGTGAATGTCCTCGACAACCTGCGCATGCACCGTCTGCTGGGGGGCCGTGGCAATTGTCGCTATCAACTGTTCCTGGTCGTGATGCTGGGGTATCATGTGCTGCAGCTGGATCGAGTGAGTGGTGTAGTCGTCCTTGGTGACAGTTTGAGGGGCCAGTCCCTGGATATTCAGGCACTGGGCAGCCTGAAGCAGAGAGGGCAGCTGGGCATGATCGACGCTCACTTCGCCACGGTAGACGAACTCAAGCAGTGCCTCCAAATCGTTGGCATTGACGCCTGCCAGCATTACCACAGGGTGTTTGCATGGTGTGTTCTATGAAATATGAAAGATAGCATTATAACCAAATTACTATTATAATTATAGTAGTAGTCGCTACAAATAACTGTGAAGGATAAAATGGTCTCAACCCAGTATAAAAGAAAATTAAAATCTTGTTAAATCTTTGCCAACAAAACTGTTGCGTTTGAAGGGTATGAGCGCGTCAGTGCGTTGAAATAGTCATGCCAACCCGAAAGAAAAACAGACAACTCATCCTCTCGTAGAAACTCAATAAGAGACAGCCACTCTCTCTCCCTACTTACTCAAACATAACAAAACCAGCCGGCTATTAATTTTCCCGCTCTTCAAAATCTGCAGCAGGATTGAAGGAGATGGAACGAGGAGATGCTGACGAAAGAAAACTGAGCTCAAAAGAGCACACTCCTCTGCCGCCTCTCACTCGCCCGCACGACACGTTTAATTAGCAAGCGCTGCTCCAAGTCGTGCCTTGCACACAGAGAAAAACCAATGCCATCTCTTTAAATGTCATTTACTGCTCCCTGTCCCGCTCCCACTCCATGATGCGCTCTTTGAACTCTACACTACTTCTGCTGCTGCTCTGTGGTCGATTCCTCTCCTCTCAATGCTACGTTACCCACCACCATTCCATTCCACACGCTCATCGATTTATCTCAGTTGCATTTTGCTGCGAGGGAGCGGGAGCAACAAAGAGAAACCTCTATGTGTTCTACCCGCGTGTGTGAGTGTAACGAGATCAGTACGTCGTCGGTCGACGGATTTTGGACTCTTGCAGAGTTCACAGCAACAATAAGAGCAGCATTTTGACATTTCCCCGCCGTTTACTCTGAGCGCCGTTTTTAAAAATTACGCTCTGTTTACTTTTTTCAGTGATGCCGGCGTCAGGTGTTTGGCCGCCAGCGCTCTGAATTGGTCATCCGTATGATAACAGAGGGCTCCTAACCATGGGACGCAATGGTTACATGGAATCTGACTCGACTGAATCGCGGGTATCCAGGGTACACGTAAATGTCATTTTCGAAAAAGACTACAACAGTCTGAGGAAAATCTATACATCATAACCATGTAATTCAACGTTTATAAAACTTGGACTCACCGTTGAACAATCCCCCCATCGACAGGTTCAACTGTACATTCAGCTAGCAGCAGCAGAAAAGAGGTCGCGCTCGTGTGCACCCAACAACAGCAAAAGCAAAAGCTCCACCAACTACAGCAACACACTGGCAGCAGTCGTCTTGTTGCTTCGATGCTTTTGGCGCTCTCGTTTGCGCTCGCTCTAACACATTCGAACAGAAAGTTGGCGCAGCAGCTTTTTCTGCTTTGACGGACTGGTTCTCTCGCTCTCTCACACTCTCCATCACTCTGCCTCTCACTGTCCTCTCGTTCTCTCGCTCTCTCTCTCTCAAATGCACTAACAGTACATACAACAACAAAATAAACAAAAAAACAGAAAAGTTGATAAGCAGTTCAGAAATAAGAGCTGTGAGTGGGCCAGAAGGGAAGGGGCATGCATTGGGAACGTCGGCGACGGTGGCGGCGCAGAGTGCGAAACTCATTCAACTCAATTGACAGTGGAAAACTTGTACCGAAATCTCTGAACAGAAAGTATGAGGCGGAGAATTGTATTTTTGGAGCAGAGAAGAGCAGCGCAGGGAAGAGCGAATGCTCTGCCATCTGTAAGTGTGTGCATGTGTTTGTTTGTGTATGAGTAAGTTTCTCTGAATGCTTTTTGAGGGAGCCGCGCTCCAAACGTTAACCTATTTTTGCGAGGGGTTTCTCTGTTTACAAACTGTACGCGAGTCAAAATCTCAGACTGGCCGCGTTTGAGGTTATGTCGCCACGAATCCACGCATCTCTCTTTCTCCACACACACTACTCTGACTTACCTTTAACAAATCCAGGAGAAACGGCGAGGCGGCACAGAGAACTATTTTGTGGGCCGGAAAACTGCGTCCCCCGGCGGCCAGAGTGCAGTCGACAAGGTCGCCATGGCAGCGCAACAATTGTATGGCCGATACCAGGCTCGTGCCGTAATCGCCCCAAGTGAGCGAATACAGCGAATTCATTGGCAACGACATCAGGGCTGTCGTGTCCAAGTCCAACAATTGTTGTTCCTCTCCAGCGTTGTGGTTGTATTCACTGCTGTGTGTCTCCAACACGACGGCTGTTCACTCAGCAATGGGAGGAAAAGTGGGGGCAAAGAAAACGTATTTAGTTCAGGATTCGCGAATCCTAAAATCCCTATCCCTTTTGACGGCACATTCACGAAACTGAAAAAATGTAAAGAGTAACCAGATGTTAGTGTAACTTACTCGTGTAAGTTACTCGTGTGCTCTCGCTCTCTCGCGAGAGTTGTAGCCTCCGTGAGAGCGAGACAACTCATGTGTGAGCGCTCACAAGAATTTGTTTTTGGGCGCCCCCCAACCAACCAACTATCCGACCGACCCCACCACCATAAAACATGACTTTCGACGTGGGGAGAAAAATTGTTTCAAATATTGTTGTTGGGAAAATCACACAAAAATAGCGCGCCAACACACAAAAATACCCATTGAAAACGGCACAGACACTCGCGCAACATACACACTCACACGAACACACATATGTATATCCACAATTGTACAGTCAAGCCCTGAGCCACGCATTTCGTTTTTCTCGCCATCCACTCTCCGTTTTAAATGTTTTATAACAAACGTTCGTTTCATTGCTAGTGTCTCTTGGTCTTATTTATATTTTTTTCCCGCTCCCGGAGCGCACGCTTTATTGCTGAAATTATCTTCTCACCGGAGCGCAAAGAAAATCTGCCCGTCTGCAGTTGGTGCTTTCCCCTCTCGTTCACTTCTCACTTCTCCTGACTCTTGATTTTCTATTTCTTTCTGTTTCTTTTTAACTGTCCACTCGCCAACTGAAAAACTCGCAATGAGCTCTGCTGAGTAAAACGCTTCGATCGAATTACGTTTTCTGCTCTGCTCTGTTGCTGCCAGCGCGGCGACTTTTCTGTCTCTATACGGGGGAGAAAATATTTTTTGGTCATGCGCTCAATACATGCACACACGTCGCTTTGGTGGTGGTGGGTCCCATGTTATATTTGTTCGTAAGGTGTGGCCGACTCAGGAAGCGGTTTTGGTGATTTCAGTGAGTTTGCTTGTGCTGTGTCGAGGCAGCGAGGGTGGAAAACCACTTTGGACAGCTGAAGAGCGGGAGGGCCGAACCTTGCTTAGTCATTCCTCGGCTGTGCATCTGTGTGAGCGCTGGCTGGCAACGCTCTTGAAGTACAGTTGACAAACGGCATTGCCAGATGCGAGCGGACTTAAGTGAAACGTTCATAGAGAAGAGTATTTTTAGGCAGGGAGCGGAGCAAGATAGTAAACAAAACTATAAAAGGTGGTAAATATTAAATAATGGAAATACTGTTTCCCTGCAGCACCCATTAAAAAGACGCTTGGAAACATCTGTGCGGTGACAATTTCTAGGAGAATATAAGAATATCAGAAATATTGAGGACAAAAAAATTACAAAATTAAATCTATAAACAGTTCACATTTCAAATAGGAATCCGACTCTTTAATATTGGATAGATGCCAGAACGCCAAATATCAACAGATCCTGTAAACAATAATAACGACTATCCGAGAGAAAAGCCGGCTCTTACGCTCTTACGCTATCTGCATTCTCTTTTTTCCTTCCCAATCACCTGTTACTTATGACATATCTCAGAGACAGCTCTGACCCTATTTTTATATGCAGATCAAGTCCCGCTTAAGAGCAGAGACCGCTTTCCGTTGTTTTGGTTTTCTCCAACAGGCAGATTTGCAGACACAAGCAGAGGAGAGTTGAGTGGAGTAACATCCAGTACCAGGGAGAGTTCTATCCATGTTGTCCACCTCTCAGAGGCCAGCGTTTTGTTTTGTTTGTCTCTGAGTGCGCTGAGAAGCAGTCAGCACCCACCCGAAAAACCCAGTTGCAGCAACGGCTCGAATTCAAGATTCAACTTTTTCTCTTTTGATGCTGTTTGTGGCGGGGACCATGAGAGAATGAGAAATGCTTCACCGTGGGCACAATGCCTATTTTTTGTCATGGAGTACAAATAAATTGATGTTCTAGATCTAGCTAGAGCTTTAATTGTGCGAAAAATGAATATAGTTTTATTTGGAATCCATCCCTTGTTATTGGCGCATAATTAAAGTTTGCTGGTTTACAAGGGACCACTTGAAACCTATTTTACGCCAAAAAATTCACATTTTGCCTGTACGCTGTTCGAAAGGCCTTTAACGTTTCAATCAGCATTTAAAGTGAGCGTATTTTACAGCTGGCAATGCTTGTTTTCCGAGACGAAGAGCATAGTGGTCTTCGGCGAACAAAACAGCATGGAGAGGGAAGTACTATAGAATGAGCGTGTGCAGAGGACAGTGGTTTGAATTTGATTTGAATTTGCCTCAAAATAAACATTCTCCTCTGTGCTTGGGGAAATATGTATATAATGCAATTCAAAGCACCAGAGTGACACTGTAAGACTAAAATTCGAACGAAACGACTTTGCTGGACTTTTCCACAAGCCACGCCACGCCCGGTCCGACCGCTTATCGATGTTATTGCTTATACACATGTACGTACATGTTTAAAAAAAACTAAAAACCAAGAAATAACGAAAGAAACCAATGAATTCAGCACACAATTTTTTGAAAAAAAAAGCCTATCAAAGGTGGCATGCGATGGATCCGCCTGAGTATGTTCGTCTGGGTGTGGATGGGCTTTTGTTTAGAGTCATTAAATTATAATCACATTAATTAATTAAGCAAAACTATAGTGTTTGCCTTTTATCCCATTGGAGCTCCGCACGGAATGGAACCCTCCACAGCACCATGCATGCCGTAAATGATTTTAACTTGTTCACTGCAACACACTCTTAAACCAGAGACATCAGAAACGGCAATGCTCCTGCTGTTTTCTGCTCTGAGCAAGAGAAAGAAATGAGGAGAGGAGTGGTTGGAGAGCGAGAATGCGAGAGGCTATCGGTTGTTCTATCCAGTTTACCTCAGTAGTTTGGATATACTCGCCACTCGATTTATTTGCTGGGATTGCACCAGGCCACCGTTTGATAGGTGATTCCTTCACCTATTTTCTCACGGGCAAACACGCAGCTCTTGTTTACAATCACCGATAGACGGACTTTGGCAATCAAGTCCAAGGGCTTAATCGGTGAGGTACTCTGTGCAATCACGATGTGCGAGGCATGGTAGATAAGGGGATCGCCGGGATAGACTAGAAAATCCGCGCCAAATGCTTCGCCGGATGTCACAAATTTTCCCCGTAGCCAGAGGTCGCGAAATATTCTGTATCTGACGCAACTGGTGTCCACAAGTGGTTCAGGAACGATTTGCGCAGCTGTTGGTAACGAAAAAATAGTTACAGGAAATCGGATCTTTAGGCAAAACATACTGTGCTTGACCAGGTGTTTGCAGGGAACTTCCACCAGCGCATTTTGTAGATCAAACTCAAAGTTGTCTGCCACTTCCTTGAGCACATCCTCGCCGACTAAGGCACCAGCTGAGTGGTAGAATATTGGATGGAATAAAAACATATTTTGAAGAGCGTATACCACTACCTTTTGTAGCCAGACCCTGCTTCAACAACTTGTTGCGCTTTCCAAGCAGAATCTTGTCCATATAACGCTCAGTCTCACGCAGTTTCTCTGACTTCAGGGCATCCGCCTGACCCTCCAAACGCTTGTCAAGTTCGGATCTATATTCCTCCAGCTCTTTTGGCATAGGAGATGCACCAAGTGCTTTTGATTTGTTGACTAGCAAAGCTAAGCCCTCGTCCAGGATCAACTGTGTCTCGAATTTCGTCAGTTCTACGGGAAGAGCTGGGAAGAAGAGTGTCTGATTAAATGCAATTGTTACTGTATGGATTTATACCCACTGGACTGATTGGGGCTCCAGCCTTTAGTATTTGCCGTGCCTACGAGAGCACCCATTAGCCGATGTTTACTTCGCAGCTCCATGTAATCTAAGAAATTTGGGGATCTAAGTGAGTTTCCATTGAACAAAAGCGACTTTCCTGCTTACCATCCACACTAAATACATAGCCAGTTCCGTTTAAGAGAGTTAAATACATTTGTTTTCCTTTTATGTCGACTTTGTTATTTGTTTTATATTGTTGTCAGTGGGACCACAAATTTATCAATAAAATATACCGCCTGACCCTCAAAATATACCGAGCACAAACTTTACTTAACTTGGCCACTCTTAACATATTTCATTTTGTAAACAAAGTCGAAACAGTGAGGCCAGAGAGCATGCACTTTGTCCACTTTGGTCATACTGGGTACAGAGCGAAATATATCTGTATCTGAGTTCTGGCACTAACCATACAGTTTAAACTTTATAGTTAACGGTACTGGACTTAAACCATTCAAATTCATGAGCGAGGCAAGCGCTAGAGAGAGCAAACGTTTATTAGTAATTTCCGCATGATTTCACCATGAGCAGGTGTTCCTCGAATGAGAAGGCACTGTGGTGAATCCGTCACCTTGTTACTAATTTCACCATGGGCCCGGGTCTCCTGTCGATAATTATACAAATGTACTTGGTATGTAGGATATGTGTAGTTTCCGTGTACTAACAATGTATAGGTGGACATTTTACGTAAGCCATATTTTATAACCGATTAAATGTGATATTATGAAATTTTGTTGAAAATTGATTCTTCAATCCGATAAAACTATATTTTAAGTGCTGAGTATTCTAGTTAGTTGGTAATATGAACCGGGTTTTCAAGCCGAGGAAATTTTAAATCAATCTAGTATGGCAGATCATGCCAATTTACTTTTTCCAGCATATCTGGCTTTTTTTAATGGCAATTTTTAGATAAGTGTTTTTTTTTTTTTCACTTATCTTATATTCTGCCACTGATTTCATAAAAAGTATGAAAAAGTTTTAAGATCATCAATATTTCTTCTTATAAGGAAACTATAGAAATACAAGCCCCAAAACTATCAGAAAAAGTAGTTTTGGCTCGCAATCCCGCAGAGCTAGATGAGGTTATGTAATGGAAATACTTAAAAAATATATTAAATATTACCATTACTATTGTTATGGCTCTTTTCTGAAATGTAAGTTTTTTTAACATCATCTTCAAGCCGAATACATTTTTTGTCTAAAGAAAGGTTGGCAGCTCTGCTCAAGCAGCTGCTCGGACCCGCCTGTTGTTTTTGCTCTCTTAATATTTTATTATGTGCTGTGCGTTTATAACAAATTCCACGCTGTGTTTATAACGATGCAACAATCGTGCGTGTGGCAACAATTTACATATTAACAGCCAATGCTATCCGAAAGCGCTGCATAGGCAAACATAGGCGAAAACGTATTGCGAGAAACAGTGTAATGGGGAAGGGTCAGAGAGTTCAAAGAGGGGAGGGAACTACACCCATCGTATAAAAAAAACAATATTACGCTCAATCTTCTCCTATTTAATGTTTACTCGTTTGCTCAGCAGTTAAATGTGAGTGTGTAGCTTGGGTATTTGGCTAACTTCCTAAAATGCGAAAACTAGTGCGAACTAGATGATCGTGGCCATGCTAATGTTCACACCTTTTAGCAGAAGGTGGGGCACGACTGCCCGATACACTGAAATATATTGTAAATACTCCCACCCCCTGATGGACCTTATTATCTGGTGTAGACCAATTAATACTCTGCATGTGAAAAAAACAAGCCTCAAACCGCCCTCCATCTTCCTTCCAGCACTTCCACATCAAATTCCTGCAACAAGGATATCGCCTTTACACTTAGAGCTCTTGGCCATGTAAGTCGATTGTCTTCGTCTTGCGTATTATATAACTAAATATTGTTATTTTATTTTCCCTCCCATCGGCCAGGCCATGTGGCGAGAATTGCGACAGCTGCCGCCACCGCCATCGTTAATCCAGCGGCTGGGGTAAGGCAGAAGCAAGGAAGCAGAAAAGAACACAGAAGCAGTAACAGAAGGCTGTTAAACGTTGCGACCTTCGTACGCAACCCAACACCCAGGCTCTTTCCCTAACCATATAGCCCTACCCATCTAAAGCTGTTTTTGCTGCAGTGTCTGCATTAGTCATCGGGGGACTAGGAGGATGACAGCCGGCCCAAGGGAAAAGCGACACAACGAACCCCATGCGGAAGCAAAGCAGCCATCAAACAAACAGTTGGCTAATTAAAATAACATTCAGAGCCAACGGCAGAAAACAAGGGTATCTACTAGACAAAATGTTCAAGATTAGGCAGAGGAATTGTATGTTGATTGTGACGGCCCTCGTTCTGGCGCCCTGCATTGTTATACTGATGGTGATGGCACCAGAACTATCCACCGAACAGTCGTTGACGCAGCGACTGGCCGAGTGCCATATGCGGCTGCAGTACCTGGAGTCCATGTACAGGGCCAGACAGGAGGACGTGGCCCTGCTCTCCCAGTACTTGGGTCAGCTGCAGTCGGGAAACGGGAGCGCGGCGAGTCCCCCGCCGCCACTGCCAGTGGTCAATCTGCTTGACGGACTCAGTCCCGAGGCGAGACAGCTGCTGAGGAATGCCTCGCACGCAGCGAAAGGTGGAGGATGGAATGGTACGCTGGCCAGGGGCCGGAATATACGGTTGCCCAACGCCTACCACTTTCTCCCTCATCTCCTGGACGATGCGGGGTCTCTCCGTCCGGCCTACCTGCAGAGCAAAGGCCGCACTGATGTTAGCATCGTTCTAGGGGTCCCCACAGTGCACCGGGAGAAGCAGTCCTATCTTCTCGGAACCCTGCACAACCTGATAGAGAACATGAACGATGAGGAACAGAACGAGACGCTCATCATTGTGTACATCGGTGAGGCGGATCTTGACACAGTGCAGCTAATAGCCCGGCAGATCGAGACCAGCTTCGAACAGCAGGTGGAGAGCGGACTGATCGATATCATTGCGCCAGCGTCCAGCTATTATCCAAACTTTGAGCGGCTGCGCATCACGCTGAATGATCCGCTGGAGCGAGTGAAGTGGCGCAGCAAACAAAACCTGGACTTTGCCTACCTGATGGCCTATGCCCATTCGAAGGGCACTTTCTATGTGCAGCTGGAAGATGACATCCTAACCAAGCGCCAGTTCATTACGACCATGAAAAAGTTCGCCCTAATCAAGAGTGCCCTGACTAAGCCGGATCAGCCTGCCTGGTTTGTCCTGGACTTTTGCCAGCTCGGCTTCATTGGCAAGATGTTCAAGAGCGCCGAGCTACCCTACCTGATCACCTACTTCCAGATGTTTTACAACGACAAGCCCGTCGACTGGCTACTCACATACTTCATTGAGTCGAAGGTCTGTCGCACCGACAAGGACCAGAAGCACTGCAACCAGGAGAAGGCCAAGTACTGGCAGCACTTTCGTAAGTCGTTGTTTCAGCACATCGGCACCAGCTCCTCTCTAAAAGGAAAGGTTCAGAAGCTGAAGGACAAGCAGTTTGGCAGCAAGGTGCCCCAGTACTATGCCCACACCCACAACCCTCCGGCGCTGGTAAAGTCCAACATTGCGCCGTACAAGAACTATCTGTTAAAGCGTGCATATCGCGGGGAATCCTACTTCTGGGGACTGCTGCCGCAGCCTGGCGACCTCGTGCAGTTTGTCTTTGAGCAGCCCACACTCCTGCGACGGTACCTCTTTCGCAGCGGCAACTCCGAGCACCCCTCGGACCGGTTCTACAACACCACAGTGGAGCTGTTGCCGGAGGACACTCTAAGTGAAAACTCGTCCGTATGGAGCAACTACAACACCACCACCGATGGCTACTTGATAGTAGGATCCTTTGATCACTTGGGCGTTGCCGAGGGCCTGCTGGACCCCAAGATCGGTTCCATCAAAGAGCTGCGTCTACATGTCCACTCCGACAGTGAGAACTGGGCCCTACTTAGCGAAATTGAGCTTCAGGAGCTGACCAATAATGCCAGGTCGGAGGCGAATCTGGCCAAGCCGCGATTCGTGGCGGGCAGCTGATTGCTGCATCGCCACAGGCAGCGTCAGGGCGTGCAGGATTGAAAGCTCTTGCTCTTGATCCTACCTATAAACCCCCCTCCCCCCCACCCACTGTGTGTATATTTTTCAAATGATGCTTTTACCCTCGAGAATCTCAATGTGTAAATATTCTCAAAGAATTTAACGCTCTCTCCATAAGCTGTAAGCAGTCAACGGATGGGCAGGACTTGTGTCGGCCTGCAGGCTCTTGTCATGCTCTCTCCAGATATCTCCAGCATCCCCAGAACCAATTTGTGTATGTAGCAGCCATGTCCCGAGCTTGCAGTCTTGCAATTAGTCCCCATCCCGTCCCCACCAACATAATTCTCTCATTGTATTCCAGCAATCCAAAATGTATTGTATATGCTTCAAGTGTTCATACTCGTTCATACTCATAACTGAAGCGGTTCCCCTCAATTCCGATGTTATGCAAATATTAACTTATAGTTTATTCTGTTTTAGTTGTAAGTGTTTTCTTTATTTTATTAGGAGATGCAAAATATGTAATTGAATCTTAAAAGTATATTATTATTGCTGGCATCGATCAAATTTAGTATTTATTGTTATACCTATAATTTCTGGCTTTCAAGAACTTCATTAGGCACGCCTCATTCATCTGAAGACCGCCATACTAACCACAAATATATACATTTTTATGTATGCATAGTCCTAAAACACAATGAATCGATTTTCAAGCATTGTTGCTTTATTACTGTGATTTGTTGATAATTTGTGCATGCATATTAAAAAAAATAAACAACTAAATATATATATACAAATTAATTTTTAAAGAGCGCTGATTAGTAATTGTAATAGTAAAAATTCCAAAAATGATTAAGAAGCGAAAACATACAATCGAAATTGTTTTAATTAAATTGGAAATGCCAAATTTTTTTATAGAATATAAAAATTGAAAGAAATATTAAGAATAAAAAATATGTCAACTTAGTTCCTGTTGAGTAACGAGAATTTTAATATGTAAATTACGGCAAAGATACCTATTTTAAACACTTTGTTCGGGTGCCGACTCACGCCATGACATTGTCTATTTTCGAAATATATGTATGTAAATACATACATTTCCTCAAAACTAATTCGAATATGATACACATAAAAAATCAGTTAGACTGCTTTCGATAATAATTTACAGCACTTACGCTTATCATATTCTCGGAACAATTCGTTTTGGCAAATCTCAATCCCACTTCCACGAACTCACACACACAGAAAATCGCGAAACCTAAGCCGTTGAAATCAACTCAAATACACATTTAAACAGTTTGTTTCGAACAAAAGATGAACAAAACATGCGTATATTTGTGTATAAGCTTAACAAATAAATAAAGTATTTCAAAAAGGAATTGACTCTGTTTTATAACGGGCAGAGCTTTAACGAGTGAGAACGTGAGACGCTTCTTACGCGTCACAACTCTGTCGTCTACATCTACTTATGTACATGTACATCACTTCTCACGCCAACACGCGCAACACGAGCGGTAGCTCGTAATCCCAATTCGGTGATCTGATAGATAAGGTCCTTCCATACGGAATGGCATTTTTAGTATTCTTTAAGCTTCAAAATTGTGGATACAGCAGATTAGTCGTAATTTGCGGGGGCGGGGAGACATTTTGAAATACACTTGTAACAGCGAGCTTACAGAAGTCAGGATCCGATTGGATTAGTTTGATCCTCCAAATTTCGACCTTTCAAAAGAATGCATAGAGAATGTATATAATCCTTCGGAAAACGCTGAAAGAACGCTTCTTTTGGGGAATCGGTTCTACAAAGTCTGCCACCACAATGTCCGACTGGGTCTATGCGTACCGAGCCCTGACGTACATTAATGTTTATGTATGTATGTAACCTGATACATTTTGAAATAAACTTGTATCAGTGTGATATCACAGCAGTCTGGGTGCAAGTTTGGTGGCTCTAGTTCTTATAAGTCTGAGTACTAGCCGACAAACAAGACGGACCGAAAGACACGGCTATATTGACTCGGCTATTGATGATGATCAAGAATATAAATACGTTTCCTTCTGTGCGTTACATACATACAATTACTTTCGAGCTCAAAAACAATATTTACTCTTCGAGTACCGGGTATAAAAAAGGTTTTTTGCTTTCCCTTATGTCTAATGAGGGGTGTTGCGAAGGGGCCGGCGCTTTGCGAGTTATAAAACTTATATTTGTAATTGCGTAAAACTATTTTATGTAATTGATAAAAAACTTGTTTTTGTAGAGTATATGATTACGTAAAGGCAATTGTTTGGATGATGTTCAACATCCTGATCCAAGCAAGTGTGTTGTGATCGTTTGCATCGAATAGATTATGATCATTACTTCTACATTCAACCCAAAACTAATGTGACGAGGAATCTCACTAAGTAGAACTTCAAATGGGGCTGTACAATCCCCAAATGAAAGGATATTTGTCGATCCGAAATGACAACGAACCTAAAAAATGATTCGCCGGTTTGCCTTTGTATTATTCTGGCCTAATTATGGATCCCCTGTATGATTTTCTTTCGAATAAGTTTTATTGATTGATATTAATTCTTGACAATATCATTAATACATAAAAAATAATATAGACAGTGGTTTGAAACGCTTGACAATAATCCGTAAAAATCACGATCACGGCACCAATCTTTTTGATTTGAAATACAGATGCCACATAACAGTTAAATACAGGGCGAAGTACAATACAAATTCCAAAATACTTTGCTCTTTTCTAGCATTGTTTGCAACAATGACGAATTACTATATAATCGCATGTGTGTGTGTGTTTGCATAGTTGTGTATGTATATACTCGACTTGATTACAGTATGGGGCGTGGTTGTTTGTATTCCAAATGACATATTCTGTCACTCAGCTGCTTAATTAGTTCGGTTCTGCTTCAGTTATTTATTTAAGTTTCCAGAGTGCATCCAATTCGTTTAGCGGATCCTTGGTCTCTTGCTGTTCCTTGGCGTTGACCTGCGGTGCCATTTTCATTTGATATGAGGTCATGATGCCACCTTTAATATACAAACAATTAGCTCTCTGGTTGAATTTAATTTGCTAACATCGAATGTCGGCGGGCACTTACGCTGGTTGAGCACATTGTGTGCATTGCAGAGCACAATTTGCATGGCTTGCTCCAGGATGGCCGAGTCCCGCAGTGAATTTTGACGCTGCGCACAAATTCGAGACCAAACATCAACCACATCTGGGGTTGGGAAAAAGCGTTATAATCTACAATCTACAGTTTATTATTTTTCCTCACACTCACTTATCAGAGTTGGTTGTTTGCTTTGAGTGGCTATCAGGGCGCACACGCCAATGACCACCATCTCGGAGCGCTCTGAGCCCGTTAAACAGCTCATTACAAGTGGCGAACTTGGTGCATTGTCTGCCTGACAGCGCTGTCGATGTGTGTCCAACGAGTTCTGGGATACACCCAGTACCTGAGTGCATGAACTAAACACAAATCATTGATCAATTTCACAGAGGGGGTGGTGCTGTAGTACTTACCCCTTGGTCCACTGCTTCAGTTGTAGCAGCGACAAATCCAGGACATCTGCCCCATGCATGGACAGCCTCAGCTGATACTCTGAGCAGTGGCTGAGCTGGTTCAGCTTCACACATGTCACCGTGTAGTCATCGTAGTGAGTCGCCTGATCCAAAGCCTGTGGCCAAAAGGGATCAAAGAGCTAAGAGGACAGAGAATATAGTTAACGAGGAACCGGATTTGGTAGACAAATCCCACCTCATTTGTAGTATGCAGACAAACCACTGTGCGGGACTTCTCCGACCAGATCATGGACCAGAAATCGTTAATCGTATTGGCCTGGGGCGTCTGAGCAATGATGAAGTTGGGACATCTGGCACTCAAGTTCTGGTAGGGATATTAAATTGATCTTAAATAGATTCTTAAATGGAATGCAAACGTGAATAACACACCTTCATGTAGGCCGCATTGATGTAGTCATCTGTCTGTTTGTCTAGCTTGACAAGCGCATGATCGAAGGGTAGACAGTCCAAAGAGCGATTCTTTTCTGGAAACAGTTTGGCAATGGTCGTGGATTGCTTGCCACTGCTTTCCTTGTTTAGCAGGTTCTGCAACTCCTGCCACTTGGCCCCCAGCTGGGTCTTGCCGTTGAGCATCTTAATGTGCAGATTCTCCAGCAGCTTTTCGTATCTCTCCACCTCCTTCTGGAAATATTTCGTCGTTTTCTCATCGGTGAACTTTTCGGCTTGGAATGCAAAGTTATTGGAATATCCATTGACACACTTGGGCTGTTTCTCGCTAACGGAATGTGTGAGGGAGACCGAGTCCCAATCAAAGTTTTCCAGGGAACTCAGATCAGAGCAGTTGGAGAGATTTTCCAGACTTGGTGTCCTTGCCGGCGGAGTTATTGAGGATGAGTCTGCTGTTCTAATTGCTGCTGCTGCCCCTGCTGATGCTCCAGGTGTTATCTCAGGGGATGTCTCAGGAGGTGAAACAGCCTAAAATAGATATTGCGGAACTTCACACTTTTTAAGAGATTTCATTTTATACTCACCTCCGCAGTGCTCTCTGTTTGGATAGGTGTTAACATCTGACTGCCTGGCGGAGTGGCCACCAACTGAGGCTGTAGCAGTGGCTGTGGCAACATTGGAGGAGGCACAGCAACAGAGCTATCTATATCCAGGTCGCTCAACAGGTCTACATTGCTAGGAGCAAGCGCAGCAGCCTGCTTGGTCGCGGCCGAGAAGGCGTAGGGCGCACTGCTAGTGGTCGTCTGAGTGTTGGCAATGCTGGTGGCCCCGCTCTGCATGTAAATGGAACCAGATGGATGTGGCGAGGGCTTCGGGGTGGGCTGCTGTTGCGGTTCAGGGGCTCCTTCGACGTGCTCGGTCGTGGAATGATGGCCGTAGGGTGGCGTATAGTAATTGGATGTGTCTTTACCTCCTCCCGGCTGCTGAGGAGCTGCTTCATTAGCAGTTTCGGCTCTGTCTGGGCCTGTGGCTGTGCCTTTGCCAGTTCCCGCCTTGGTGTGAGACACAACGGGCGACTGTGCGGAAAATACATATGTTTGATGAAGGAACTTTACTCAAAAAGCACTACTCACATCGAATCCTGTGGCTGGATTACTGCGATTAGCATTCTCCGAGTCCGTGGTCCCGACCACGGCCGCCAGCTGCTTTCCACTCTGGCTGAACTGATAGCCCAGCGATCCCTGCAGATTTGATAGGTTCTCCTGCTGATATCCACTGCTGTAGTCGTAGGCGCCTGTCTGCGGATTGTAGCTGTAGCCAGGATGGTTGGAATAGGTGATGTACGTGAAAGCGTTAGTGGGAGCTGGACTGGATGCTATCGCAGGATTGGAAGAGGCAGCAGGAGATGAAACTGGAGCCCCAGCAGTCGCGGGAATTACTACCGCTTGGAGATCACCGTATTGCTGGACGCACGGCTGTGATGAAGATGGGACCCGACTCACTGGCATCGAATGACCTGGAGAGGATTGGATTCCCCGCGTGGTTCGGGGGGATGCCTGGACAGCCTGTGATGGATATAGCGAGGGTTGAAGAGACCCATAGCCCATGGAGGGTGGCTGAGAATATGCCATGGGCTGTTGAAGCGTCTGGGACTGGGGATATCCTGTGGTCTGCTTCTGGTGTGTCTGGTACTGGGGATATCCTGGGGGCTGCTGCTGGGGCGTCTGGGAATAAGGATAACCAACATTAGGCAGTTGCTGTGGCATATGTGCTGGCGAATATCCCGTGGACTGATGAGGTGAGGCATAACTTCTGGGCTGCTGAGGCGCCTGAGCGGAATTATTCACCGACGATTGCTGGGGATAAGCCTCTGACGTTTGAGGCGGATGTATCGACTCAGGGTGGGCGGCCTGCGGGTAGACTCCTCCCGTTTGATAGCCTGCCGAAGGAGTGGGATTGACCACATACGGGACCTGTAACGAGGCTGGTATCTCGCCAGGATTCGCATTCGATGATGTGGCCACATACAGCGGCTGCTGGTAGTTGAATCCCTGCGCATTCGACCCTGCAGCTGCATACGGCTGCGATGCAGCAGGCACTGCAGCATTCGGATGATTGTAGTTGTAGGCCGATCCTACCTGACAGCCGTCCTGCGATTGCTGGATACTGAGCTGTCCCACGGCCCCGTGGAGCGTTTGGGAGTTGGGCGAGGGTTGTGCCTTGTAGGCCGGCGGATCGATGTTCTGCTGCTGCTGATTGTACATGGGATTCGTGTAGCCCGCCGCACTGGGATCGTAGTACTGCTGCTGCTGGAGGCTGTACGGCGGCGGTGGCTCGTTGGGCGGAGCCGTGGCATAGGCAGAGCACGCCGCCTGCGTGGGATTCTCTGATCCCACAGGCACTGGACGCACTATGTGCACATAGGAAGAAGGTCCTGCTGAAGTAGTGGCATCCGGAGTGGGCACTATGCCGGCGGCAATGCTAGCCGCAGAGGCTCCTTTGGCCTTAAGGTAGTCCCGCAGCTTTGGTGTACCTGCTTCTCCTCCTCCTCCAACAATGATGGCTGATGGCTGAATTTCGGCTGCGGTTTTGCTGGAAGCGGCCATGACACTCTCCATTCTCTGCTGCCGCTCCTCCGACTGCACATCGCGGGCGGACTTGAAGCGGCTGAGCAGTTTTTGAATATTGCCCGCCAGCTTTTTGTAGAACTCCAGTCCCTTAGCGGACTTGGCCAGCAGATCCTCGTACACATCGTAGGAGGCTGCGAGCGAGCTGTAGAAGTGCTCCCGCTTCTGCTTGACGTCCTGGAGGGTCTTGAGCACGGGTGCGGCCTTGGCATAGTTTTCAGTGAGCGCGTGGAGTATGTTCTGCTGTGCCAGCAGGTTCTGGTCCAGCAGCTGCGTAATCCTGTCGTGCTTGGCCATCTCCGCAACGAACAGGGCCTGCAGTCCCTCCTGACCACCGTGAGCAATGACTTTACCCGTGATGTCATCCTCGTTGATGGCAATGCGCAGGTCCGCATGGAACTGGGCGCGCTGAGCTTTCATTTCGTTGACCTTGTTGAGGACCAGCTTTACGTCCTTGAAGATCTCCGCGGTGTTTAGGTCCGAGCTAATCTTGGGCATCAGCTGCTGGATCTCCTGGAGGGGACGGGCCAGGATCTTCAGGTTGTTCACGTGCAGGCTCATGGCCTTCCGCAGGGTGTTGTTGGACTCTCCGGCTCGGGCATGCGCTTCGCTGTACTTCTGGAACTCCCGCGTCAGCTCGGTGATATGGGCATTGGGTGTACGCTGCACCCCGCTAGCCGCCTGGAACTCCCGCTCCGCCTTGGCCTCCTCCTCGAGCATGTGCGACAGCTCGCCGAGATTCGTCTCCACGTCAGTAGTAATCTCGGCCAATTGCGACATGGCCTCGATTAGGTCGCTGATCGCCGTTTTATTGGCATGCAAGGCTGCGCAGCGGTCCACGATGCCCTGGGGCAGCTTATTGGCCTGCTCCTCGTTGATGTTCAGATTTTCGAGGGTGAGGGAGCTCATGTAGCCCTCCAGCTGGCCGTCCTTCTCCTCCAGCAGGGCACCGTACTTTCGCAGCAGCTTGGCCTTCTCCTCGCTGTACAGGGAACTGGCCTCGTGCGCCTTCATGGGCACTAGGCGGGCAAAGATGTCCGCTCCTGCGTACTCCTCATCGGTGACCTGGAAGCCTATGCCATTCACCAGGTTGGCCCCCTGCACAGCGGCAATGGTAGACAGTTCTGGCACTGCCTCGTGGTAAATGAACTCGTTCTCGTTCTTGGCATTTTTCCGCTTGGCCTCCACCACGTCAGCAGTAAAGCTTAGGGACTCATTAATCTCCTTTTGATCGGGCAACCCCTTGGACTCCTTACGGGCCTCCTCCAGCTTATCCCAGCTGGCCTGGAATGGTAAGCAAATGTGATATATTCAGCGAAATCTCGCTAGGTCTATGTGCTGACCTGGTAAAGTGTTACTCGCTCGCCCATATGGCGCTTCTCCTCCGCATTCTGCCCCTGGTAGAGGTAGAGGATGCAATTCAGATAGTTGATCTTGAAGCGCACATATTTCTTCCAAAGCTTGTACACAGAAGCGTCGATGACCTGGGCCACCGGACCATCGTCTCCTCCTGTGAGAAGGGCTGCCAGTGCGGCTCCGTAGTAGACCACGATCTGGGCCGTTACCTTGGCCACAATATGCGGCTTGCGATTGTCGATCAGCGACTTCTCGAGGATGCACTCCTGCGCCTGAGCCAGGCATACCTGCTGCTGGTAGACCAGCAGCTCGGTGGTCATGAAGTCGCCGCCACTGTTCACATTCGCATAGCGTTCCCTGAGCTCGTTGTAGGCCCAGGCTGCGGCCTGAAAGTGGGTGCACGCCATTTTCATGCCATCGACATCGCCGCGCGTCACTGATGCCCCCGACTGGGTGTGGGAGGCGGCGATATTGAAGAGGACTGCTGCCCGCTCGAAACGTATATCGGTGACCTCGTGAACGGCACTGTGGTAGAGATCCTTCCAGGTAAAGGTGAAGATACCCTTGTCGGCCAGTTGGGGGAAGCGATTTTGCAGGGCGTGTAGCTGGCAGTAGTAGCGTTTCATCACGGTTGCACCATCCTTGGTAGTGCGCATGGCCTGATTCCGCAGCGACTCCAGGGCATGCACTTCCTTGGAAAAGGCCTCGGGATCCTCATGATAGAACTCGGCTATATACTGTGGGGCAATAAGAGGACAGAGTACACATTTATTTGTTATGGCTCACGCTTTTCCAACCCCCTCTTCCCGCACAACTGGGTGGGCTAATCAGCCGATGACTCAGCTCCGCACATAACAAAGGCAGCTAATGCACACGCAGGGCAGAGGGGCTGTCTGCCACTGCGTGCCGACTTTTTTCCAGCTGCAGCGCAGTTGGTTCGGTTCACGAAAGATTCTTTCAACTTTTGAGGGAGTCTTTTGTTGCTGCTCTCTCCACTTTCGACTATCTCTTATGGGTTTATTACCTTCTTCAGAGCCGCAAAGGAGGTGCCCTCCGGGCTGGATTTTAGGGCAAACCACAGCATATGCAGACGTGGCACAGCTTCCATAGTGTCCGACTTCTTGCCTACTCAATATATAATTTTAATCAATTGCAATTTGCAAACAATTAAAATTTAAAACAACCTCAATTTCAGTGTGACCGCGGAGATTTCGACAAAATATACCGTCAGACCCTCAAAAATATACCTTCTCATTTTAAAAATATACCGTAATCCTAAATTGTATTCCTTCATTTTTATGTTCTATTTGAAATTACTAGCTAGTTAGGAGTCTCGGCGCTAAAGCTATAATTTTATCCGAATTTTCAATCAATTCTAAACAAGATTGGCTAGTTTTCACGACTTCCTTTTGTTGAAATGCTCACAAATTAATTTTAAAACTAGAAAGGTCAACAAAAAAAAGTATAAAACGTACGTGAGTGGGAAAGGATTGCTATGTATTTCACAATTTGTTACTTGTCAACCGTTAGGTATGGTCACTAAGCAAACAAATCATAGTGTGGTCAAACGTAGTAAAAACTGGCTGCCTAATCAGTATAGTGGATTGGCTCCCAGTGCCTTCGGCTCTTGATGAGAGAGCCTTCGGCTGATTCACATAGTGTACGCTGAATACTATAATGGAAAATATTTGCAACGCCAAGTCAATTGCGGTTATGCATTATTTATATACTTATGTAGATGCTTATAACCGTTTATACCTTTCGTCCTAACTGTATTTAAGAAATATATGAACATAGAGAGGATACACAAAATCAATTTTTTTTTTGGGGCAAGTCTCAAGTTTGAAGGAAGGGTATGTGAGCTCAGAAGCAACACAAAAATGCCAAACGTTTCAAGCGTTGAAAATGAATACGCAAATGAAGTCGAGAATAGATTTACGCATTGCCATCATGTATGTACATATTTGTCACCGCACACATGAAAATACAATCAGTTGTTCAATGCTCAAGAGAGCCAACGCCAAATCTTTTAGTCACTCGAGCGTGACTTGGATCTTTTCTTCGTTTTTGGTTTCCTGCTTAGCACAAAAAGATTCTCACGAGCCTTGGCCTAGCGGCTCTTCCAAATTGGTTGACAAACTGGTCGACTCTGCTCATATAAGCCAAGCGAGCATATTTGCATAAATATGTATCTGCGAGGTGAGTGTGTGTGCAGTAGATGTAGATGCAGATGTAAATGGTCATATACCTTCCCTTTTGGCCTAAGTAATTGATTGTGTGGCTTTAATTGTCTTTAATATGTTTAATGGATAATCAGCAACGAACCCACAGAGCCCCGCGAGAACTGTTGCACTCGAATATGTTCTCTTTCTCCTCTTTCTCTCTTTTTGATCACTAGCACTTTTGCACAGAGAACAGCGGAAATGATGAGGGGATTGTCGTCCCGCCCGCAAAAAATATGCAAATGTACCGTTGAAACTGCAAATCTGGAAACAAAGAGAACACCGCAAATGGCAATACCGAAATTCGGAAAGGAAAGGGAACACGCACAGAACTCCGAAAATAACTTTAACGCGCACTCACCGGGGCCTAATGTAAGCCAAAAAAGTGTTCGTTATATATATGCGCATATATATGCGCTATATATTTTCCACAGTTTTTCGCCTGTTTTCCTCTTCATCAATATGGTAATGCTCGACCGTCAGAACATATAATAGGCATTAGGGTATTACTCGTATAATATAATCCGTAAATTTCATATGTATTCCCCAATCAGCAGACAACAAAGCGAGAAGCAGGCAGAGAGAGACAACATTCAAATCTCAAACGGACATTTTTTCGGCTTTAATTGCTGTTCGAATTTCGAACGTTTCGTGAGAACATTTTGAAACCACATTTTGAATTTTGATTGGTTGAAAGTTGAAAAAGCGTAAAAAGTCGGAAATAAGTATTAAAATTTTTTTTTTTTTTTCTCTCTTTATATTTACAATCTGTTTTTAAACAATAAGTAAATTGTATAATTAATATTCAATTAACAGAAATAGCAGTTTTCCAATGAGTATTAAAATGAATCGATTTTTTTTGTATAAATAGTGGACCAGAGTAGTTTTCAGTATTCAGTATTCAGTTTTCGAATAGCAACATGGATCTAAGGACACTGCGGACTATCTTCCTTGATCTGGACATTTTCCGAGCATGAGAAAGGCACTTCAACCGGACTTGAAAGCATGTTAGGCGGACGTCGCAAAAACAGCAATTAGCGCGAGGCCAAATCAACCGATTTGGGCCCTAGAGGACTAAAGGCAGCCCTTTTTCTTGGTCATGGACGAGTACCACTTCCCTCCAATTGTAAGAAAATTATAAATTTGGTTTTGTGTGTTCCATTAAATAACTAATTCTATATTTCTAGTTTAAAAGTAGCTCTTATTGGCTATGAAATTGACGAAATCATCGAACTTGTCAATCGAAATGCCGATCCCGCTGCAACTCCGCCGCCCCAAACACCGGCGGTTGTGCAGTTAACAAGCGCAGCGTCTCCACAAGAGGACAGCATTCCGCCGCCGCCAGAATGTCTCGACATTTTGGAAAACGTTTGGTTAGGTAAGGTAGCAATTTTATAGTATTTGAAAATCTATACAACAAACACTTCTTTTTCCAGAGCCCCCAATACCCGAAAATGCGCACAAACACACATGCCAGCAAGGAAAAGACCAACGACAACTCTTCATATATGCAATCTTCTTGCTTGGCGGACTCCGAATTAGTCAAAGAAAACCGACAACCGTCTTTCTTCAAAAGATATGTCAAACTCCCTCAGGTATTCGAAGAGGCGCCAGGACACTGCGGTCATTGCGGCAGGAGCGCAAGCAACAACATACGACGTCTTGCTATCTTATTGAAAAGCCATACGCATTCCCGCAGTGTGGCTTTTGCGCAGAAACTTTAAGACATCGAAAATGCCCGAAACCATGTATGAAAAACACTCGCCTAGTGCCTCTGTGCAAGGACGAACGGCTGTCTAGTATTTATTGTGGAATTAGTGTGCTTTACAATAAATAAATAATAAATAAATAGAAATAAATAATAAAAAAAATAAATAAAATTCAATTTAGAAATGATTGTTCAATTTAATTATTGTTTTCCCTCTCAACTGTATTTCTTTAAATCAAGTACGTATTTCCCGCCATATACTATGAAATTCAATATCGAAAATAAATACTTTTAATACTTTTTTCCGACTTTTTACGCGTTTTCAACTTTAAACCAATCAAAAATTCAAAATTGGTTCCGGCTCTCACGAAAAAATGTCTCTTTTCTGCTGCTTCTTGCATGCGTGTGTGCGTGCGTACACGCATACGTGTATGCGTTCTGTTTATGTTTTTAATGAATGGGAAGGGGTAAATACACTTGCAGAGAGAAGCATGCTGAACTGAATGGTTAGGAAAAGAAGAGTATTATTAGCCAAAAATTGCCATCAAACTCTCTTAGCCGAAGGCTCTCTCACCAAGAGCCGAAGGCACTGGGAGTCAATCCACTATACTGATTAGGCAGCCAGTTTTTACTACGTTTTACCACTCTATGGTATGGCATAGATATAATTTTCAAAGCTGCTCTCAAACATTAATAATGACTTTATCTTAGACTTGCATGTTTTTTAAATGTACATATGATGTACATACAGTATATATCGATCTAGATACATTCTCGATTTCTCGGATTTCAAACATTACCTCAATCCAATTACCTTGATATCCTTCCCAAAAGGGGTACTAAATGTTGATTATATCGTGCCAAATGTTAACTCACTCTTCGCAGCATTTTGCTGGCCCAAGCAAATTATGCTGCAAACGGTAAACTACGTAAGTTTTGATGAAGTTCAACGTAAGTGTGGATGGAATAAAGAATCCCTTTCCCTTCGAAAGAGACGAAAATTCCCACCCCAAAGAGAGAAACTCCTCGAGGGAATTATGAAAAACATGCGTACGGTAGTTTGGATACCCTATATTATTGAATATAGTACATGCCTTAAAAATGGAATTTAATAAACGGATGAAATTCATGAACTCAATTTCGTAGTCAAAATAACCTAAAAAGTACATACCCCTGCAGGGTTCATCAGAAGTATACTGTAAAGTACCATTAAATATAAAAGATACCATAAATCATGAGTGAGTGAACGAACTTAACTAAATTCTCATTGTATTGATCCCAGAGGAATAGGCGGCTTCCACCGACGGGGCCCAACCATGAAGCAATTATATAAGGGTCTAGTCGGCCAAATTTCTTCCCTAACAATGTTGTCAATAAGTGCGACTGAAGGGGCACTGCGCTGTAAGTGTAAGTAAAACGACAATGGTGTGTGCTGATTGGAGAAAAGGATTTCAAATTTTCTTTATTATTTTGATTTTTAATAATTTACTTCTTGAAAGTTGTCGTTACTATTGATTTTATACCCGGTACTCGAAGAATAAATGGGGTATATTGTATTTGTGCGAATAACGGTTGTATTTAACGCACAGAAGGAAAAGTTTCCGACCCCATAAAGTATATACATATATTCTTGATCAGCATCAATAGCCGAGTCGATAGAGCCATGTCTGTCCGTCCGTCTTGTTTGTCGGCTAGTTCTCAGAGACTATAAGAGCTAGAGCCACCAAATTTTGGCTCCGGACTGCTGTATGCTCACACTGAAACCAGTGTGTTTCAAAAATTAGCTCCGCCCCCTTCCGCCTCCGCAAAAGGGCGAAAACCTTCAAAACCTACAGTTTTGAGAATAAAAGAAAATTTATTCCGTAGGGAATAAACATATCTATCAGATCACCAAATTGGGATCCGATTGAATCATTATTATAGCCACAATGGAGAAATTAATTTCCAGTGGCTAAACCCACCCTGTCCCGAAGCTTTTGTTGCTCTTTTTACATTCTCTAATTCACACTCTGCTTCTGCTTCACTCGGCCCTGCCTCTGCCCACCCCCTGCTGATGCCACTACCGACTTTTAGCCCACCCCGTCCCGCAGGTAAAGGAGCGTGTTGGTGTGAGATTGTAGATGTAGATGACAGATGAAGAAAAAATTTAAAATTTGACAAAACACCGCTAAGGTGCAGATGTAGTACTGAGTGGCGGGTATAAAAGTTGTGACTCGTGAAAAGCGTCTCACTCGTCCCTTCTCGTTTTTTTTTTGTTGTGCGTGAGCTGCCTGTGCCTCTGCCGTGAGTTTGCAGTGTGTGGGTCCAGGGGCGAGCTAACGGAACGTGTTGGTGTAAGAATTGTTGTAGATGTAGATGACAGATGAAGAAAAAATTACAAATTTGACAAATAACCGCTAAGGTACAGATGTAGTACTGAGTGCCGGGTATAAGAGTTATGACGCCTAAGAAGCGTCTCACACGTCCCTTCTCGTTTTTTTGTTGTTATTTAATCGCTACAGCGAAATTGGATGGTCGCATGACGATGAGTCTGCATTGACCAGGTACTTCAGTTTATGTTGGGGGAATAATCGGAAAAAAATATTTTGTACTGAAAATTTTGAACTTAAAAAGAGTTGTTTGTCGAACAAAGTGGAGTGAGAAATAGACTTGCAACTTTAAATTTTTCTCAAGGAATTTTAGTTATACCTGGTACTCGAAGAGTAAAGGAGTATTTGTGCACAAAAGTGTATGTATATACATATGTAACGCACAGAAGAAAACGTTCCCGACCCCATATTCTTGATTAGTATCAATGGCCGAGTGTATACCTGCCTGTCTGTCAGAGACTATTCTATTTAGTCTTCCAGTACCGGGTATAAAAAGTTTTTTTTGGTTCCAAGCGGAAAAATGGTGCCAGTTTTCCTGTTTAAGTGCAAATTATGCGAAAAGGAAAATTTTTTGCTTTTCTCGCGAAATATTTAATATGTTTTATACTCTATTAGTTTACATCTAAGAGAATTGGGATTTACATGTATTACAAGTCATCGGAGGGTGGGTACCGCCTCCATTTCATAGCTTAGGTTTCTAAGCCTATTAACAATAATGCAATTACTTCTTAATTGCCGCTAACAGGTTGACGGGGGGGGGGGG